AGATTAGCAATGAAAGGTCAGGATTTTAAAATTAGAGGGGAAGAGATGAGCGGCGACACTTCGATAACAATAAGGGACGTTTAACAACACACTAGTTCAAAATCGAACGCAGAAGAATTTTACCTACTATGGCGATATGAAGTGAGCAAATTCTTCAAAACTGATTTTTCGATTAGGATACTTCCCAAATTCATCATATTTAGTAAATGGGCCTAAAATTCTTCAACGAACATATATGAGCAAAAGAGAGAAAATCTGTCCGAAAAAATGAATCAAGCGCAGTCACGCGATACCCATCAACGAAGACGAGTGATAAAGATGGCAAAAAGTTTATCACATCGAGATCATGTACAAACCACCAATAAATAACCTATCAAATTAAGATGACATCAGCGAGGATTAGAGAGTGGAGTACATATATACATATCATCATGACGAGCAGGATGCAGATGTACATTTCTTATAAAGGTTCACCCTCTTCCGCAAGACGCTCGCCTTCGTCTATAATGAACGATTCTTCACTGCATCGACCAACGACCTAAAAAACTATGTTTGTAGTCTAAGGTTTACCGATAAACCAACAGACTGTGCAATAACGTACCAAGAACGAGATTAGGGCTACAATCACTCCCAAGCAAAGCATCACATTCTCGAAAGATTCTTGCTCAACGAGGTAAAGCCGCAAATGATCGATACCGTACACCGACTCTGTCCAAGTGGAGTACGTGGTGTTGGAAAAATCATAGCCTGAAAGATAACATCCAGTCTAATGTCTCAATGGTAAGAAGAGCTTACCTTCTATTCTGAAAGCTGGAGAGCTGACTTTGGTTGTGGACATGGACGTGCGATAACAGTAGTGAGCACCAGTTTTAGGATCAGCTTGCCATGTATACACATAGACCTTCAATTAGGCGCTTTGGTCATTCAAATGTGCGAGTTGAACTTACATTCTGGCCCTTTCCCAGATCGTCACATGTTTTTTCATCTTTAACGTTGCTGGTGTGCGAGATAGACCCTGCTGCGTACGTCGTCAGCCATTCAACAAAAAACCGCACAGGATTACGATAATTAGCAGACACATAAGTAGACTTTCCAGTGTAGAACACTAAAATTACCACTGCCAACAGCAGCCAAAAATATATATAAAGTACCCTGCGAAGGCTTGAATCGATTTTCGTTCAGTTTGTTGAAAAAATCACATTCAAACCAATTAGGTTCATCGATGAAACATTCAACAAGTGAGGAGATCTAAAATAAAAACTTACACATTACGGTCATAGATCAAAGCAACTCACAAACTCCTTATCGACTTCCAAAGTTTTACTCAGAGCTGGTTCAAGACCAACGTGTTCTGCTGCCACACGGAGCATAGCAGTCGCTGCAATCGTTATTTCAGTAATAGCGGCCGATCTTTGTGAAGGTGTCCACTGTGCACGATCCAATACGGAATTTATGCGCCTGGAAGGTAAACCCTGTTACCAGTAGTAGTGGAAACTAATATAGCAAGCATTACCGGTAGATATAGTGATTCCTGAAAGGCGCTAACACCACTCCACGCACTGAAGGAGCAATCCGGGCGAATGTGTGCCAACTAGATGGAGGCATGCGAGATTTTGAAGTGGGAGGTACCAATTTTCCGCCAGCGGCTCCGGCTCCAGCATTCAGCGCAGCCAATAAACTCTTCAGCTAAATTCAGGCAATATCATTTACGTAGTATCTAGCCAAGCAAGCAGATGTATAGGTAGGTGACCCCCACCTCCCCTTTCTCATACTGCTTTCCATCAGCTAGAATGTTGAGCGATGCGCTACCATTCCCACTGCCAAGTTGCTGAACCTCGACGATACTGTCTAGTTGAGAAGCTATGACCGGATCAAGCTGTCCCTTCATGTCTTTCTTGAGCTT